TGGTATGTAGACAGGACACAATTTGCACAATATGTGATAGTGCACCTGAGACAATTGAACATTTGTTCTTTGAATGCCAATTCTCTAGAGCTTGTTTGCAGGTTATTGTAAACTGGTTAAACATTGGAATACAGAACACTACATTACTCAGTCTAAGGCTCTAAGCAGCAACTATCAAGCAGAAAGGAAAAAGGAAATCAGTGCAACACCAAATTTTCAGGATGTTACCCACTAAATTTGCATGATGTTATAGTATAAATCAGTATAGTATGAAAAAGGAAACCAAACAATCAGTGTAGTATAAATTCAAGAAACCAAACATTTTAGGGAAACTAAGACCAATCAGTCTTAGTTTGGTCCCGCTTCTGCGTCCTTTCGATTTCCCATTTAGTTAACTTCTTTTGTAACCCCCACTCTTTCGAGCTTCATAAAAAAGGAAAATATGCAAAAATTGATTTCTAAGATACCAAACTAAGACGAATTCAGAAATGGGATATGAAACACTAACCTTAGTGCACCGCTCTGCCGGAAAAAGATATAGAAAACTGAGTTTTGACGGGCTCAGTCGTGTGGGCGTGACTGCCGACTGTGTGAGTCATGAGTCGAATTAGGTCGAACTGGTGAGGGCTTGACTGCTTCAGCCGTGTGGCCGCCTGGCCGGTGGCGGACTAGCAGAGAACTGGTGAGGTTTGACTTGGACTGTGGACTAAGGGCTTGACTGACTGACGGAGAGGGCTTGAGCTTAACTGAGGAGTGACTGAGTGAGGACTTCAACTCTTCAAGTTCAACTGTTCAAGCACAGGAAAGGAAAGGAGTTAGGTTAGTGAGGCACTGAGGTCTGAGGCTGTGAGAGGCGGACAGCAGAGAAAGGTATGAAAATGAAATAATGAAAATGAAACCCTAGTATTACTAGACTAAAGGGTATACTAGTAAATTAGTAAACCCTTATTGAGTTATCGGTTTACCCAATAACAGATTTGATAAACCGAGCCCGAACCGATAACCCAATAAGAAATTTTTTTTTACCCGTTACCGAACCATTAGCCCAATAACCCAATACCGATAACCCAATAAGTAATTAACGGTTCGGGTTATCGGTTTTACCCAATATATGCCCACCCCTAAGTTTAGCTATTACTCCTAAGAGTTAAATAGCAGTCCAAAAGAATATAAAGAACAGTAAGGGGAAAATATTGAAAGGTTTTAATATTCTAATGAGTTTAACTCTCCTTTACCGCTTGTTTGGATGGTTGTTACCCGTTATAGTGTATCGTATTGTTACTTTAAATACAATATTTGTTTTGATTGATATTTAAATTTTATTGTATCGTATCGTTAAATTCGTCGTTACGGAACGGCAAAAAGTATCACTTTATGAAACGATATATTTGGTGTGGTGATCTCGTTACCTTACTTTTTTTCTCTCATCTTGCTCTTCCTTATTATTAAATAATCTTATTTTATTCTTTATCCTGTTTTTTTTTATATAATAATTCTACTTTGTATCATATTTTTTCTCAGTAATGTTGCAAGTTTATTCTTTATATTGTTGGTATGTGATATCATGAAATGACGGTAAACGATACAATCTATCCAAACATTATATTCATTAAACAATAGAGTACAATACAATATAATACAACATAATACAATACGATACAATACATTATGAAACAATATGTAACAAGCATCCAAATAAGCTATTAATCAAAACCCTTCCTCTTAATATTATTTTTCCCCCACTATTCATGCATGCATTCAAACAAAACAAAAATTAATAATATAAGGGAACCCTAACAATAAAAGGACACTGGGTCCTCGTATAATTTGTTTTGGTCAAGGGCAGGTAACTGAAATCAAAAGGTGTCTCACTATAAATAATTTATTAAAGAGAAATTTCAATAAAAGGCAACCATATGCCCGGGGACTGCGGCGCGATAATACCGACGGTACCCTTGGAGATCTCTATCACCTTAGAAGCCGTTCCATAAAATCATCAAACTAAAAATTAATAAGTAATTTTTTATCTTTGTTATGTTCCTTAAGAAAATATGAACGCATAAAGAAAAAATATGTATTCATTAAATTATTCTTAATTAAATTTTGCATATAATACCTTAACATATTGGGATATGTAAATAAGTGAAAAATTTTGAGAAAATAAAATTACTTCTTTCTTAATTATATAAAAGAATATTTATTTTAGACTAAAATAAAAAGACAAAAAAGACATTTATTATGAAAATGAGGGAGTATCTTTTTGTCGTTTTGCGACAAAAAATATTGTGAGTGACGACTCAATTTCATCAGAGTAGATTATTAGCTCTTTTGGCCAAGCTTCTAAAATCAACTTATTTTGAGAAGTGTTTTTCTCAAAAATACTTTTTAAAAAAGTATTTTTGGTGAGAAGTAGTTTGTGTTTGACTAATTAATTTAAAAAATACTTGAGTATGTTTTTGGCGAAAAGTACTTTTGGCCAAAAAAAACTTAGCCAAAGAGGCTATACATCTAATTCTTCTCCAAATGAACAACTCTCATTCATTACAATTCAAATTATTCAGAAGATTATGCCAATTATAGAGTGAGAGCAGACGTCAAAATCAGGTCTTGTTCCTGAACTTCTGCAACCCTGGGCTTCCCTTGTTGGAGTCTATTGGATTTTACATTTGTTACTATTAATATTTGATTAATAATAAGTAGTTTAATCAAATGAAAAGTCTTTATTTAAGTTTAAATTTAACAGGATAAGTTAATTGAGATAGTTTTGATTTTTGAATTTGAATATTTATTCTCCTAAATTTTCTGCAGATTTTGTTTTTAAATTGGTTATTTAAAGCCTTGTTATGCTTAATAAAATTAGTGAGATACTTTTTCAATCAATACTTTAAATCTTTTTGCAGCTCCATCTTTTAAAAAACCAACAGTGGTATCAAGAGCCTCATTGGTCTTACGTGATTTGTGAGTTCTTCCAAAGAACCATTTTCAAATTATTTTTAACCAATATTTATTTTTAAACTCATTTTCAAACATGGAAAGCAGGAGTCTCTCTTTGAATGCCCTACAAACTTTCACTTAAAACCTATGATTTATTGAATGTTGTTATGCAAGAACAATCCTTACGAACAATCCCTGAAAATCCTATTATTGTCCAGAATCAAATCTTTTTAAAAGAGATTTCAGGTAAGACTAGGACACGAGAGGTGTTTTTTATGCGCAAAACCAAAAAGAAAAAGAAAAAGAAAGAACAAGTCATATTGCAATGGATGCAAGTTCAAAAAAACTATGTACAAGTACAAATTGCCAAAGCAGAAGGATCAACCTATTAGAGCAACAAAAGTAAAGAGCAGTGTTGAATTTTGCACTTGTTAATGTTGATATTTGATTTACCAGAATAATAAGTAGCTTAATCGAATGAGGAGTCTTTGTTTAAATTTAAATTTAATAGAATAAGTTAGTTGAGATAGTTTTGATTTTTGAATTTAAATATTTATTCTTCTAAATTTCTGTAAATTCTGTTTTATAAATTAACTATTTAAAGCCTTGATAAAATCATTGAAAGATTTTTTCAATAATTGTTGTCCCATCTTTTAAAAAACTAAGAGAGGCCAATCAGGATCCAGCCATCAACCACTAAGCCTACTAAATTTGAGCACAAAACTTGTCCCAATGGCACTGATGAATCATTTTACGGTATGCCCTCCAGGACGGCGAAACAAAGATTTTCAACAATCAAGCGATTCAATTTCTACTATATATATTCAACAACCAAGGGGATTTAATAATATATATTTGTAAGATATGGCCTTATATATACGGTGGAATTTCCGACTAAAGCAATTCAGATGACTCCCTTCCGCCACCCTAGCTCCACCCATACCTAAAGCTTTAAGCATCTTTTCAAGGAAGAAGATGAAACCCCACAAAAAGAGAGGCTAAGAGTTGAGGAAATGAGAAAAAGCAAGATTGATCCTTGTTCAGCATTAGGTAGTACTATTATACAAAAATGCAACAGAGTACAAAAAGAGAGCTGGAACAAGCAAGAAGATATTTTTACATTTACATAAAGACCAGCAAACTAAGCTGCACTATCTTCATTGCAGCTATAAAATTGAACTTCTCACAAAAACCTACTACACAAAACCAGAAATTCATGCTTATGCAAAATTAAAAAAGCATACAGTAAACATAATCTTTACACAGCAAAACCAGCTACCTCACTGAAACTCCATAACTTCGTATTGAAAGGTATTAAGCGCTCCCTACCAAGAATTTCTCCAGTCCCGTCAAGGGGTATTTGCGGTAGCACTAGGTCGGTGTCTATCCGCAAAGCGATTAACCAAAGCAAGTGCATTACTAGTAACTTGTGCAAGATGAAGGATTCTTGATCTTAAAACAGCTTTCACATTTCCATTCATTCCAGGTCCTGAAAATCCATCAAGACAAGTGTTCTCATCTGTCATTGCAGCACTAACCCAAGTTTGCACATTACTAACATGCCACATAAAGTCCCGTCCAGCAGCAAAATGACCAGTTTGCCCAAGTTCTGGAATAGATTTATTGATCTGATCAACACTATCACTCATTGTATCAAAGCAGTCCTTTACGGCTTGTTTTTCTCTTGGCTTTAGGCCTCTAATTTTGGTTAACTTAGAAACAAATATGGTGGTGGATTTTGCTTTACTTAAGCTAACTGATAAAGCAGCACGAGCCAGTTGCTGCTCACTTTGTTTGACAGTGTTAGCATAAGCAGAGAGACATTGGACACATAAAACAGGGTAAAGTGTGGCTTTACATGAAACTCTAATGAATTTTATGGCATCAGGATTTGAGTGCATAGCAGATGCAGCCATGGTATAAGCAAGAAAACATTGGAAAGAGAAGAATACTATCAGCAAGTGAAGACTAAGGTTGCCCATGTCTTTTTTTTCTTTTTTGTTTGAACTTGAAATGACTCTACTTTCAGTGTAGTGTACCAGAGCATGGTGAAACTTTATATAGAATTTAAAAGGGTTGCTAGATTTATCTTTTTATTTTTTTCCTTTATTTGGTATCCGAAATTTACTGGCTGCACTTATTTGGATTCGTGTGGCTTAGGACCAACTCCCCGTACCGGAAATTTTATTTTGTGTCTCATACAACTGACACTAATTGTATGAGATAACTTTTTTATCTAACAGTTTTGTGGACCCAAAAATATAAGATTGTGGTTCACAAATTTGTAAGACAAAAAGGAGTCTCATACAACTAATGTCAGTTGTATGAGACACAAAATAAAATTTCTCCCTCCCTACCTATTTTCTTTTTGGTCCGTTTCAAAAAGAATGAACTCTTTCTAAATTTGAAAATAATTTAGCTTAAACTTTCAATCTACCACTGATGAGAAGTTTTTATAACCATACAAATACTCTGGACCATTTTTAACTTATTTAGGATCACAAATTCACAACGTCTTTATTTTTTCTTAAATTTCGTGCCTAATGAAACAGGTTCACATAACTTGATACAAGAGAGTATTAAAGAAAAAAAATATTTTTTATCAGAAGTTTCTCCATTCTTTGGAACTAGAAATAATAAAATCCTAATTAAGTACGAAAAATACCATCCATTTTACCACCCTACTTAATAGTAAAATTGGTTGTGCTAGTTACTACTCGCTTCGGTCCACAATAAGTGATTAATTTGCTTTGGGCATACCAATTAAGAAAATATTAAATTCTAGATGAAAATAATTAGTGTGACTAAATTACCCTTCATTAAATGTTGCACCATAGTTATAGTAGCACTTACTTCTCTTCTCAAATGTGAGGAGTAAATGACTTTTTAGGGATACATACATAAGAGTAATTTTGGGGAAAAAAATTGATTTTTTTTCTTAATTATATAAATGGACACTTATTTTGGACCAAAATAAAAAAACAAATTGGTCACTTATTGTGGATCGGAGGGAGTATATGCCTAACGTGTTTAGAAAGTTAGTAATATTCCCTGCGGTCCACAATAAGTGAATAATTTATCTTTTGCACACCCATTAGGAAAATACTAAATTTTAGATAAAATAGTTAGTGTGACTAAACTACCCTTAATTAATATTGTAACATAATTTAATATGAGAAGTAAAAAACTTTTTAGGGATATATACATAAGGATAATTTTAAAAAATTAAATTAAATTTTTTTACTATATAAATAAACGCTTACTTTAGACTAAAATAAAAGGATAAATTAGTTCTTTTGGATGTAAGGTAGTTTTCACATGCCCCTTTTGCTTTTGTCTCTTTTCTATGCAATTTCCAACCTTTCCTAAATTTCTCACAAAAATCTGCCATTTGTGCTCGTTTTGGTTGCAACTTGCAACTTGGAATGTGGTCTAAAGTTTACGATTTTTTTTTTTTTTTTTGGTCGCCTCAAGCTTATCACCAATTAGATAGATATGTACAAACTTTATGGTAACGTAGTACATGTCTAACACACGAACGTGTGGCTTGTCTACTTGTCAGAAAGAAGCTTAAGAACCAACATTACCTAGTGAGATTAGTGTTACAGCACAGCAGATAAGTATCATAGTCTAGTAAATTAGAGAAGATATAGAATAGTAAATTATGAAATTAATTTCCTATTAGGCGACGTTTTAATGCAAGAGATACAAAGAGAAGCTTTGACCAATATGTGACTAGAAAACATTGTGTAAGAAAAATAGAAAAGCTGATTACTTCCTGGATGAGTCCGGAATCCAATTATTATTTTTTTGGACTCAAAGTATATTAGTAAGTGTAAAAAAAGAAGTTATTTTTCTATATATAATGTTCAAATACAAGATGTTATACCTTAGCGGTAACTTTTGCCGTTAAGCTATAACGTCTTGTATTTGAACGCTATATAGCTTAACGATTTGACCAACATATATATGGTTATGAATTTATACGCTATACATATAGCGTAAAAAAACAACGATATACCTGACTAACAAGATGCAAAGTTTTTTCTTGATTTTGTCCACATACTAAAAAAGAAAAAGAAAGAAAGAAAGAAAAAAGATGCAAAGTTTTGTTTGATAAACACTTGGTATATATCAAAATGAGTTGAACCTAGTCATTGACACAACCAGGCCGAGTTAACTCATCTTTACATTTTGCTCATCTTAAAGCTGCCAGTTTTCCCCATACTTTTAGCTATATCTCTAAGTACAGACTTCTGAATTTTCCTAGTTGAACTCTTTGGAAGCTCTTGTTTGAAAATCATATAATGTGGTAATTGGGCTCTACAAAACTCTATATTATCTTTCTCACTTGCCTTTTCTTTTCCATTCAAGCTGACAAAATGCACACGGAGAAAATTCATCTGGTATAGCACTTTTTTTTGTACGCTATGTGTAAAGCGTGTTAATTCAGAACGTTATATATGTCGGTCAAATCGTCAGGCTATATAGCGTCCAAATACAAGACGTTATACCTTAACGGCAAAAGTTACCATTAAGGTATAGCGTCTTGTATTTGGACATTATATATAGAAAGATAACTTCTTCTTTTTTACACTTATTAATGTACTTTGAGTCCAAAAAAATAGCAATTGGGTTCCGGACTCCTTCCTGGATGGTTCTCGATTGCTCTTAAATTAAGAGCAGAAAAGACAAAATTTGATACAGTTTTTTGTTCTGATCTGTGCCTTGTGTCTCCAAATGTACTAATTGTTGAAAAGAATAGTAACTCTGTTATTGTTATTCATGTGGAATGTCACCTACTAAACATTATTTTATGGTTTTTACAGGCAACATTATACAAAGAGGAATCATTACATAGTTTAAAGGATGATTTTGTACATAAGTTCTGGCAGCCAGCTCTGGTAGACTGGTACAATTAATAGTAAGACGGAGAAAAACTATTTATAAATGTCAATCTTTGAGCAACGGTAAAGTTATCTCCGTATGACCTATAGGTTACGGGTTCGAGCTATGGAAGCAGTCACTAATACTTATATTAGATTAGGATGTCTATATCCCACCCTCGGGTGCGGCCCTTCGAATGAATACGGGATACTTTATGCACGTGACTACCCTGCCCCTTCAGTATTATATACTTCATGAGTACTGAACAGTATGCGATGTTTTGGGACATTGTAGAGAACTATGTACTACCTATCTAGGAACACAACTCATGAGAGAAGTATCTTGACAATCAAATGACAGTCTAACCAGCGCCAATCCAAATTAGTCGGGATAATGAATTCCAGGGTACCGAATGGCAAAATAGTAGGCAGGATAGGCACAAAATAAGCATCCAGGGTACCTATTTTAACTTTTTTATATGCTGCATAGGGTAATTTTCACCTCTGTTTATGAAGCCAAGAAATGACTATTAAATGTTCACTTCACAGCATTACAGACTTTACCTGCAACTGAAAACCATAATAGACAGCAGACAAATTTCCTCTCTAAATTTTCATTTTGTTAGGGTTGGATGAAGACATAGATCCAGCTTTGGGAACATAACTAGCTCACAGTACCTAGGTGACAGTTACTGTCACGCCCCTTTTTTCAAACTTCACTAACACTCTTAAATAAATTAGTGTTCAAAAAGATTAACTCACAGTCGCCATCTGATATTTGATTTAAATCTACACCGATATTTGATTTCGGTGTGCTGGGTCTACCGTTTTAAAATAATTTTCCTTTTAAATACTTTAGACTCCAAAATTAAATCTACACCAGAGATTCGGATAAGGGAGTTCATTTAACTCGGGGAGAAGGTGTTAGACACTCCCCCAAGTTTCGTAACTAGTAAGATTGCATACTTGATCAAATTGACTTTTAAAATATTCAAGTTGAGGAGAAATCACAGAAAAGCAAAATAAACACACACGAAGCCCGAGCTCGTCCCCACCTAATAAAAGAAAAATAGAAATAAAAATAAAATACTACCGAGTTCTACTATCGATCTCCGAGTACAAATACTTCGGGTATATCCCAGAATAAAATATATACAAATCCTTCCGGCCATTTTTCAGATAAATTTAACTAGGGGCGACCTCTCACCTCAAAAGAAGCTAAAACCAAACATCCTAAATGTTTGCCTACCTAAGCGATCGGCTAGACATGCTCCTAGCGATTGAAGCAATAAAATTAGCCAAACAAAACATTCATTTTTGGAGTCCAACCTCTTTAATTTAAGCCCGACATCCTCGTGAACTAATTCATTCCAAACTTAAAAAGAGGGTTAGTGAAGTTTGAAAAAAGGGGTGTGACATCTCTTGGTGAGGTCGTTCGTGGGGGTGCTGCTGGAGTGAGAAAGCAGCAATGGCGACAGTGGTGGCTGTGTGTATGCGTTCCAGGGATGAAGGGATCGATTGTGAGGTCTTGGTCTCTTGGTATGTGTTTGCTGGAGAAAGTGACGGCTGTTATGGAGGTTAGCTAATGTTCTCTTGGTGGAGGGTGACGACAGGAGATGGGGTGGTGAAGAGGAGTGACGGTTGTTGCTGTCTCTGATAGGTTTCTGGCGGGTTGTGGCGGAGGCGAGGGGGGCAGCGGCAGCTGGAGGGTGGTCTTTGGTCTATTCTCGGGTTTGTCCTGTGTTGTTTAACTTTCTTTTTTTGAAGAAGAAGGAGCTGATGGGGCGTGAGGGTTTTAATTCGGTGTATATTGGTATTGAGCTCAAAATCTTGTGGGTCATTCTGAATTGGGCCAAATTTTGGATAAGAAAAGCTTAACAAGCCAAATGTTTTTTCATATTAATATAAAAAATATAAAACTAATCCTAATTAATTAAAACAAACAATATTATATTGTTAAACTATTTTGATATTTTTCAAATTTCATACTAAAAGATAAATATGGAATTAGATTAAAATTTTTGCAAAATTAAAATAATATTACTACCCAAAACACTAATATCCTTGAAAATAAACTGTAACTAGTTTTTTGTATTTTTAAATTTTATATAAAGTAGATAAACTAAAAGTAACAAAATAAAATATCAATAACCTAAATAAAAGAAAATATTTTTGTAATTTTTATTTTTGTGACAAAATAAAGTAAAATAGTTAAAATTAGGTAAAGTAACGATATTAGACCTAAACTAAATATCTAAAGACTAAAATATATAAAATCTTTAAGAGGGTAAAAAATCACATGTCTACAATTACAACTTACAAGAAAGGACAAGAGTCTAAAGATCAGTCCCATTAGTTTTCTTGCCTAGACTTTCATTGAGATTCCTCGCATCTCTTCCTAAAATATCCTTCCTTTTTACTCCCCCGGTTCACAATAAGTGACCAATTTGCTTCGGGCACACCTATTAAAAAAATACTAAATTCTAGACAAAAATAATTAGTGTGACTAAATTACCCTTAATCAAATGTTGCAGCATCGTTATAGTAGCACTTACTTCTATTCTCAAATGTAAGGAGTAAATGACTTTTTAAGGATACGTACATAAGGGTAATTTTGAAAAAACAAATTGAACTTTTTTGATTATATAAATGAATACTTCTTTTGGATCAAAATAAAAAAACAAATTGGTCACCAATTGTGGACCGGAGGGAGTACAACTTAGAGTCGAGTAAACATAAGATAACCACTTCTACAGTTCTACTCATTTTACATCTGAATTGCAGTCTAAGGGAGTTTTATTTTTAATAGTACCTTCATAAACATGCATTTTCAATTACATGGTTTACACATTCTTTCCACTTTGATTTTCAAAATAGACGGGGATACTTTCTTTTTCTTATTACAAGGGATCATATTCCTACAAAATTTTGTACTATAATACCATTAGTAGAATATAAACAACCAGAAATTCTCACCATTACTCGGTATAAAAATGAGACGAGCAGTTGATATTTTTAAAACGAAAACCTATACTGTTAAGTACTTCAGAACAAGTCCTCGCAGCTTTTCCATGTATTCTGCTGCTTGTTTCTGCATTTCCAAAGAAAGATTAGTTCAAAGTTAAGACAATCGTAGTCAAAGCTTTTGCACATATTGATCAATACTTTCTAATACAAAATGATGCATTCAAAATTTACGGTGATGGTTTTGATATGTAGCCATTACCAAGTATCAAACTGGAAATAAGTGCAAAAAATTACCGACAAAGGGTATTCAATATATGTTATATACCTCTAAAAATTAACATTTTACCAATATATATAGTGTAATTTTTCGACGAAGAGTGATCAATTGACCACCCTTAGGAGAATGTAGCTTCGCCCCTGGGCGGGAGTGCTAGCGAGGATGTCGGCCCAAGATTCCCCACAAATTTTTTCCAGTAAGATAATTCAGCAAAACTTTACATGAATCAAAATGTTTCAGCACACTATCAACCTTATCAATCAATCTTTTAGATAATTGAAGTGTAGTAGTACACTTTTCCAAATAACCCAATTATAATGCTCCTTTTTTTTCTTTTCTTTACAGGTTATGTAGGTACAGTAGTTTTGATTTATGGTACGTGCAAGCTCTTATCTCCAGGTTTCATACTCCAAAAGTCTTGTAAACTTTCCTTGTATTGTTTCACATCTTTTTTACTTCATAGGTCTTAACCCTATCCTAACTTGTAATTGCTGTTGTGTGTTTCATGCATGAGATGAGCTCAAAGAGCTAAAATCCTTGCTCATCAAGACAACAGCTTTCACTAGAGTACTCGGGTTTGCACATCAATTATTTTGCCAATGACTGCATTAAGGACCAGTCTCCGAACTAGATAAACATTACTCCTAAAATTCTGCAGTAACTTCATTTTTCATGAACAACTCAGGGGAAGTAGGGTTCATTGTTTAGCTAAGTAAGCAGAACACACAAATTGCACTCCACGTAACTGATGATGTCCATCTCATTGAAGAAGTATTAGGCATGTGCCTAATAAGAGTTTTCTTTGGTTTGGTAGCCAACCTTGTTGACTTGGTTTGGTTGGTAGCCAACCTTGTTGAATTTCTTTGGTTTGGTAGCCAACTTTGTTGAATTGTGAAAAATGTGTGTAAATTGTCAAATATTGTAGGCTTTAGAGGGTGAAGCTTTGGCTATAAAAGGAGAGCTTCAACTCTCATTTCTTCACACCAACAAAGAGAGAAAGAAAGAGTGAGGTTTCACAGACAAGGTATAAGAAAATAGTCTGTGAGGAAAATAGAGAGTGAGCGATATTGTAGTGAGGTGGGAATATCAAAAGAGGGTTATTTCTTTTGAGTGTTGTAGTGGTCTTTGGAGTATTTACCTCCGACCTACAAAGTGTAAAATTCCTTACTATAGTGATATCAGTTGCTCCTCTCGGGGTCGTGGTTTTTTTTCCCTTATTCAGAAGGGTTTTCCACGTAAAAATCTTGGTGTCATTGTTACTCTTTTATTCTTGTTAATTACCGTATCTCGGTGCTACATTATTATTCCGCTTTATTACCGTGAATATTATTTTGGTAAGGGGTTTATTCCCAACAGTAACTCCAGTGAAATTGTATTTTTAGTTCAAACTCGAATATTACAAACCCCACTTCTAGGATTACGGGTTTGTTATTATTTTGTATATCTGTAATTTGTAAAATGAGGGAGATTTCACCAGAAATCATCCAAAAAGATATGACAGAGAAACTATCAAACGCCAGAAAAGAGTTGAGCGAAGAAAAAAGATCAACTTTATCATAATTACTCGGATCAAAGATGAACTACCAAAGAAATGATAGGAATGGAGATTCCATTGCCTCTTTGTCAACCAAAGATTGGCAAGTAACACTTCAATAGGTCGTTACACTCAGGAACATGGTAAGCTATAATGGCAATTCACTAGCCTCTAGATGCAGCTGCTTACCGTTTCTACCCAACAAGTCTCAACCCACACAAAGGTGTGCTTTCAGCAAATTATTTTTCGTTGGATTGTGATATTACTATTAGGAGAAAGCCATAACCCTGGAGTACACCGAAATTTTAGAAAATTGCATGGATTTCTATGTCAGTTATTGATGCTTATTTCCTAAAGGTACCTCTTTTCCTTTTCAAATCACATTTCTCTACTTAATTTTAAGTTGTCGCATGTGATGTTGCACCAGTATTGTCACTAATATGCATCATCACTCCGACAGAACCTCTATCTGCATTGTATGGAATTTGCTTGTCTCACCTGGTTAACACTATGTGCAGTTGCAATGTTTTCATCGAGAAGGGTCAACAAGGGTCTGTTCAGCTCATTTCTCTCAACCAAATCCAATAACTGCACAAAAAAATGGAACAATCTAAATTCAGCAACAAAATTAAGAAAATATACAAACCACACACACACACACCGGAGCAGAATTTACAGACTATCACATACAGTAGCCTTGACATCCTTTGAAGTCAAAATCTCGGTTAAGTTCTTCTTTGTTGCTACAATATCTGCTTGCATTTTATCATAGGCTTCTGCAGGAAAAACATAGTACGGCAAAATGTCAGAAGCACTCTACAAGATAACTGATTGTTGAGACTTCATCATCAACTGTATCTGGGCGTATACTTATGTAACACGGATCATTCAATACCCCCTGATTCACCCATGTTAATCCAACATGATTTGGGTGTAATGCCATACACCAGACTTGGTCAATTCACCTAAGTGCGATGACTACAACTGTCGCCGAGAAGCATAGGTTGTCTAGGTTCTTTTATTTCGTTTCTCGGATTTTATGTATGTCTATATATTTCACAAGAGGGATAAGAAAACCTTGTAATTGTGCAAGCTATACTGATAGAACAAATATTATGTTTAACCATAATATATTTATACTTGTTCAAGTTCAATGACTTTTAAGTCCAATTACTAAAATAAATATGTATATTATACTACACACTTGTTAGTTATCTTATCACTCGCACATTACGTATCTCCGAAACTTAAGAATTATATGATGACGAATCCAACTTCTGGATCTGCTCAGATACCCATACTCTTTTCCATGTAAAATAGTCTGGAAATCCCTAACAAAAGAGCAAATAGTCAACTTATCGTACCCGTTGCTTCCTGCAGGGCCTTTTGCAGTGCTTCCAGTTCAATTAATCTGTCTTCCACTTCCTGCAAAAATAGTATAATTCGTATCATTTCACGGACATAGCAGTCTCATTAAATCGAGCAAACTGTCAATAAACCTGAGTTTTGGTCATAGAAAACCGCAGCTTTCCCACTTCGACTTGCAGATGGTCAAAAAACTCTTTGTTCAATCTGAAAAGTTATATATGTCAGAAACTTTGGGCGAAGAATAAAAAACTAGAGAATGGCCGGACAAGATATCCAGGCAATTTGATGTTATAAAGCTCTTATGCTAACTCTCCAAAGGGAAAATGTTGGCATACCTTAAATTAGGTCAAGTGCCAATACTTTCTCAAATTTTGATAACAACATAAAGGTCAAGAAAATGGAAGATAATAAAGAAATACTCTTGTTCTCTTAAGCGGCAATTATTTGAATTACAGCTATGCAACCCATTTGTCATAATCTCAGATAATCAGTCCACCTAAATAGGCATTTGTTACACTCATTACAGTGTAGGGAACAAGATACAACAATCCTTTTCCAAGTAGAAATGCACGTTTTGGCTGTTGGCTGATTGCTGCATAAGATTGAGCAAAGAAAAGCTAGCACTTCCTCTGCCCAACTTATATTAAATTGGTTTCCATATTGGGAAGTGCCGAAATGTTTGATACAATTCCTATAAAAATATTACTTTCAACAAATTACCTTGGTTCCAAGATTTCAAATTTATTGAACTAATCAAATTTAAGAACTTTCTCAGTCAAACTAACTTTTCCACTATTACTTCTACTACTTAAATAATGAACAATTCAATTAACAACTTGAATATCGCGTCCAATCAAAGGTAGCACAAGAAGGAGTACTCAGAAGGTTAAAATAACTGCATCAAAGTGTCAAGTAGGTGTTTGAATAAACAGTTAGAATTAACAGAATTGCCTGAAGCACTGAAAAAATGGTAACATAAAGCTTTCTTCTTCTGGACAACAACGACGTTGACAACGTCTCAATCCTGCAAGTTGGGGTTGGCTATATGAATCCTCACGTTCAATCACTACATTAAGCTCAATTATTTATAGCTTTCTTCTACTGGAAGAGTTACAAAATTAAACAAAGCCTAAAATACATATGCATTTTCTTGATCACAGACTTAAAATGATAAAAAGAATAAGGTGGAAACTTCGAATACTTGACTGTAGAATAACCTAAAAGAGCTGAACCTGAACTAATGCAGCCAAGATTAAAAAAAAAACGATAGGCATTTTCTGCATGCTTTGCCACAAGAGCAGTAAAATGCTACTCCCACCTATGCTCTGACGACACTGGAAAACTCACCGTGGTCTCAGTCGGGCAATCTCAAACTCAATCTCTTGAGCTTCAGTGTCAAGAAAAAACTCCACAAGCTCTTCTACTGTATCCGGAATCACTCGTGACTATGATCACGAAAAGAAAAGAGAAGACAAAGATACACATTAAATATCCATCCATAACATAACATGGAAAGAGATTCAAAGTATGTCTTACTAACTACTGCACAAATTGTTGCAGACCTAACACAAGGAAATAAAATGTTCCTTCTCTAGCAGCTTCATATAAAGTGCTCACATCAATTTTAACATGGTATCAAGTACATCTTAGATTCAACTCTCTATCAAAAGAAAACATCTCCACGTACTTGGCACAAGAAAAAGAATCATTCCATGCATTGAGGGGTGTGTTGCTGGCCTAATATAAATAACAATATAAGTTCTATATATTGACAGCAGTGGCGAAGCCAGGAATTTCACTATTAAGAGGTGTCAAAAAATAAAAAAATAAACATACAAAGAAGTTAAAGGAGATTCAACATATAGTAATTAGCAGGGTTGTGAAAAGCGCTCGCTTCCTCGCTTAAAGCGAGAAGCGAACCGAAGCGACCCCTTACCCGCTTCTGCTGTATGAAGCGACTCAGGCAGACAAAAGCTTGTGCTTCCCACTAAAAAGCGAGAAGCGACGAAGCGAAGCGAATCGAGCGAAGCACGCGCTTCTTTGTTTTAAAAAGCTGCCAGCCTATTTAATTGAAAAAGAAGGGTGTTCAGTGTTCTTTTATTAAAACACGACCAGCAGCAACAGTGACTAGGGTTCCCTTTTCAACTTCAGCAGAGATTCAGCAGCAACAGGTATGTGATGATTTCTTGCTCCTCCTCCCCCTTCTTCTTCGTCTTCTTTTTCTTTTTCTTTCACTGTTTCAGCGTCCAAATAGCATCGAAATGTTGGCGACTTTTTTTTAACCATCAGTTATTCTTTCTATGTCTTCTCCTCTTCGCTGAAATGTTGCCCAGTTTTCTTTCATTGTTTTTATGCTGCTCAGTTTTTAACAGAATGGTATACTGCCCTTCCTCTTATTTTAATATTTTTTCTAAATTCCGCTTCACTTAAAAAAAGCGAGCGCTTCGCTTCTCGCTTCTCGCTTAAAGCGAAATGGGGGTCGCTTTTCCTAGCTTCACGCTCTTCACAACACTGGTAATTAGTATGTATACATAAAACTAAATTCTTGACCTAGCTAAACAGTGTAATTTTTCGGCAAAGTGGTGTCAATTAACATCCTTTAGCCTAAGTTGGCTCCGCCACTGATTGACGGTATAAAAATATTTACACACACGTTACAAATAAGGTAATTGCAGTCTATGATAAGATGGTAACATGAATTCAACTGAAATTACCTCGCGAAGAACTCTGCGACGCTCTCTTTCTTCACGGACTTGACGTTCAAATTCTTCTCTGGCAGCAGCATCTTGCTCAAGGCGTCTCTTGAACTCGAGTCTAGCTATGTGACCTGTTTGGGCCGCACCCAATACGCCTTCTGGGTCCTGTAATCATAATTCAAGTTCACCATTTATCAAACACTTAGCAAATTACTACTATGATAGATACATATAAAGAGGGGAAAAGAGGATATACCCATTCTAGTCTACCCGTGCAACGAATTGGATTTACAAAAGTCTTGGGTTTATTGAATTTGGTCCTGTGGAAGTGAGCTCCAATGGCGGAACTAGCAAAGCTGATGCTGAATATTGCGGCCATTGATGGCCGTTATTGATTGAGCTTTCAAATGTCTGGTTCCAGCGGTTGGTTCGTTTCCTGCTGCTTTATCCGTTTGAAATGCGCACCAAAAATCTCTTATCTACAATTTATTTATGAGTAAAAGATATTTATAAAATCAGATTCATTAAAAAATAATTATCTTTAATTATATTCGATAATATTAATTGATAATTTGTAAGGAGCGGTAAGTAACCAATATCAAGTTAAATTACATTGATATGCATTAAAAAGCCAATACCATCACATGTCTATAACTTAAATCTTTTTCTATATACTCACTCCATTCTATTTAGTTTGGCATTATTTACTAATTAGTGCATATTTTATATTTCTTGGATGAGAAGTTTTTACAATTATACAAATAACATGATATATTTAAAATAATAAATTTTAAATGTTTTTTTTTCTTTTTTATATGTTGTGCCGAGTCAAATTCTGTCAAACAATTTGAGAAAATCTACTTGACCCTATATAGTCCGTAAAATTATGGCTAACGTCAACATAACAATAGTTGCAATATTATTCAAAATAACGGAATCTTACGTAAATGTCCCAAATAAGTTTTAACTTATTAACCTTTAGTCATTAATCTTAAACTTACTAAAACTAGCTAAGCACATATAAAAATCGAAAAACCAAATAAATAAGTTTCTTTCTCTCCAAGAATCACACGCAAAGATCTTTTTTCATATTTTAAAGCGTGATTAGCAACATTAGATGCAAGACGAAAATGAAATTTCATGAATGAGGTGGCAAATAAGTTGATTAAAAGGGGACCTTTTTCAATGGGTATTGTTGAGATTCATTGAAAACATATAGATGAGTTAATATACAAATTTTGAGGAAGATTGGAGGTGATTTGGAGTGATTTGTATCAAAATCCATAGTTAAATTCAAAAAAAATTCTGTGACACATGTATCAACGCATGTATCTCACACACGGGTATACATGTGATGCACATTTGATACATATGTAATACATAGTATAATATACATACTATTTTTTTTATGTTCATCTTCTACTTTGAATTTTCAATTCAAACCACCTCAAAACTCCACCAAATCATCCCAAATCTAGAATCAAGCTCCTTAAGATGTACCCAATCTATTTAACAACACACACTCAAAAGAAAGCAAAATTTTGACCTTTTTTTTGTCTACAAATAGCTAATTGGCTAATATTGATAATATTTGGCCAATGTTAGTAAAATTTTATGAATTGACTAATTTTTGTAATATTAAGCTACTTATAAATGGACATAACTGGTATTTTCCTTTAAAATAATGGATTTAGAACTTTCATTCGTATGAAAGAATTGAATTAGTTTAGAATTGATTTGTGATTAATGTACATGTCTCCAACTTTTTGTCTAGCACTGCTAGCGATTTGTGTTGTATTTCACACCTTTACATAATATTTGTGTTACTCCTTTTTCATTTATTTGTTGTCTCTCACGTTGCTGATTATTTTTTGGGTTTTGTTGTCACAGATTTATTGTATCTGAGCTGAGGGTCTCCCGGAAACAGTCTCTCTACCCCCTCTAGAGTAGGGGTAAGGTTTGCGTATACTTTACCCTCCCCAGACCCCACTAGTAAAATTTTATTGGGTTGTTGTTGTTGTTGTTGTTGTACATGTCTCCAACTCCAATTTATGGCCCAACTTATTCCAGTTGATGCTTGCATTTTCGGGAGAAATTCAAAAATAGCCAGATGTACAAGTGGTCATTCAAAAATAGCCACAGTTTCAAAAGTAATCGAAATTTAGCCACTTTTCATGTAAAGATAAATCTGAACGAAAACATTGTTCAAAATCCGGAAAAATACTCCAGCATAATATACTGGAGTTCCAGTATAATATACCGGTCCAGCATAATATACTGGAGTTTGGAACACCGGTGCTCCAGTCTTTAGTATATTATACTGGAACCAGCAAAGTATATTGGTCCAGCATAATATGCTGGAAGTTAATACACAGGTGCACCGAACTCCAGTATATTATGCTGGACCGGTCTCTGTTGCAGCAAAATAGTGGCTATTTTTCAATGACTTAGAAAACGCTGGCTATTTTTGAATGACCAGTCCGACAACTGGCTAGACCGTACTATTTTAAGTGCATTTTCCCGCTGAGGCCCAATAGAATTACTATACACGTTTTGGAGTACAATAATTATTGTAGGAAGTATTACATAGTTTTGTTTATCTTTTTTATTATTGTCACGATCCGAATTTTTCACCCTCGGGTGTCGTGATGGCGCCTACTAATGTGAGCTAGGCAAGCCAATTATTGAACAGATTATCTTTATCCATTTTTATACCCTTTTAGCATTTATAAAGCAATAATGTGAAAAAACAGCGAAAATTTAGATAAGCGGAAGAAATATAGTAAAATATCTGAAATATGAATCTAATACAACTGTTTAAGCCTTAATCACCCAGAACTGGTGTCACAGTATCACAAACGATCTAAGAGTGCTAAATACAATGTCTGAAAATAAAGATACATTGTTTCCGAATCAAAGAAATGAAATAGGAAATAAAGGATAGAGGAGACGTCATACGGACGCCTGCAGGTCTACCTAGGATCTCCGCGTGGACTGAAGGTAGCCACCCAAATGCTACGTTCCAAGAGCTGCTCCGGGATCTGCACATAGTGCAGAGTGTAGTATCAGCATAATCGACCCCGTGTGCTGGTAAGTGTCTAGCCTAACCTCGGTGAAGTAGTGACGAGGCTAGGACCAGACTACCAAATGAACCTGTGCAGTTATATAATATACATCGAAAAATAAAATAGGAGTAAACAAGTAAAGATGGGAGGGGGTACATGCTGCAGGCACTACAAAAAAATGCTCATTTTGTGGGGGTTATTTTGACAATTTGTGACGGTTGTCAAAGATGGGAGGGGGTACATGCTGCAGGGTGTATCAATATCAACAGTAAATCAAGAGTAACGACATAAGGACAGCTTAGAATTCACGGCAAAACCATAAGAAACTTGTATCCAATCTATAACCACTTTGTATCAACAATTGTTGCGACACTCAACCCGATCCCAATATATAACAATACTGTTGCGGCGTACAACCTGATCCATATCATTTATCACTGTTGCGGCGTGCAACCTGACCCACATATATCATTGTTGCGGCATGTAATCCGATCCACATATATCATTTATCATTGTTGCGTCGTGCAACCCGATCCACATATAATATTATTGTGGCGTGGCAACCCGATTCACATATAATATTGTTGCGGCGTGCAACCCGATCCACATATAATATTGTTGCGGCGTGCAACCCGATTCACATATAATATTATTGCGGCATGCAACCCGTCCAAATATAATATTTAACACCAATCATAATGGAGCCCCGACAAGGGAACAATAAGGGAACAACAAAATCCTAGCAAGGGAATCAATAACCACATAATAGAATCAAGTAACAACAGAAAATCAGTAAATAAACGTAATGGACAACATAACTCAATTATCTGCAAGATTCAGGAAAATCAAGGACAAGTGCACGACATCACCCTTCGTGTTTTAACACTCTCTTACTAAAACAATACTCACAAGAAATAAAGGCAAGAAAATAAATGAAGTCACAATAAAATCCCGGCAAGGGAACAATAGTACAACAATCGAATCCCGGCGTGGGAACAACATCAAAAATCTTCTTCTCTTTCCCTTTTCACATTTACTTCACAACTCACTTCACAACTTGAGCCAATGCTCTAAAACGTTCAATTTCCACTTATACTTTCACATTTTATTGTACAACTTGAGCCAACGCTCCTCAATGTTCAAATGTCACAATTGCTTCCCCAAACTTTGCCCAACAATAGAAATCATCATCAAAGCATGAATAATACAACGAAGCCATAATAATCGCAATATAAGACTCACGGGCATGCTTGAACCAACGTATAGATACTCGTTACCATGCCTATACGCCATACTCGACAAATACCACATAGAAAATAGGGCTCGACTCCTAATCCCTCAAGCTAAGGTTAGACCAAACACTTACTTCGATGCCACAAACACAATTCACGTCTCAACTATCGCTTTACCCCTTGATTCCACCACCAATTTGCTCGAATCTAGCCATAAGTTACTTAATTACATCAAATAACGCTAAATAAATCAATTCTAATGCATGAAAATGAGTTTTCTCAAGTTTTACCCAAAAAGTCAAAAATCGCCCCCGGGCCCACATAGTCAAAACTCGAGGTTCAAACCAAAACCCGATTACCCATTCTCCCACGAACCCAAATATATGATTTGTTTTGAAATCAGACCTCAAATCGAGGTCCAAATCCCCAATTTTTAAAAAAACCCTAGGTTCTACCCAAAACACTCAATTTCCCCCATGAAAATCATTGGTTTTGAGTTGAAATCATGTTAAAAGATGTTAATGATTGAAGAAAACGAGTTACAATTGACTTACAATCGATTTGGAAGAAGAGTTATCTTTGAAAAATCGCCCAAGAGTGTTTTGGTTTTGAAAGAGTGAAAAATGAGAGTTTTTCGGCTAAGTATAAAAATTGCAGGTTGCAGATATGGGAATTACGAACAGGGTTCGCAATTGCGAACCCGACCTCTACTATGTTCGCATTTGCAAAAGCAGTGTCGCATTTGCGACTGAGGTCTCACATTTGCGACTAAGGGGGATTCCATGCAGGTGTCACATTTGCGACAAAAACTTCGCATTTGCGAAGAAGGTAGCCCAGGCCACCTCTCGCATTTGCGATACATTGCTCGTATTTGCGAGACAAGAATGCGAAGCCTGCAGGCCTGAAGCATACCAGCAATTCCCTAAGTTAAAATTTCACTCTGTGGCCTATCCAAAACTCCCCCGAGCCCTCGGGGCTCCCAATCAAACATGCACATCAATCTAAAAATATCATACAGACTTGCTCGTGCATTCAAATCACTAAGATAACATCAACAACTAGGAATTTAGCATCAAAATCATGAAATTTTCTTAAGAACTTCAAATTTCCAATTTTCTCAAAAAATGATCCGATTCACGTCGTTTCAAGTCTGTTTCTTACCAAATTTCAC